AACAGCCTAGTGCTTGTTAGAAAATCAGGCAGTGAGTTGGCCGTTCAACCTACTCCTAAGATTGTCCAACCAGTCAGCAAAGCGAACAAAAATCCGAAACGCAATCTCACTGTAAACCAAAGGGACTTCAACCTTAACGTACTTTAAAACCTGGAGAAGCAATCATGGTTCGTTATGATTTTTTCGCACTCATGAACCTTTTAGACGGCCCTGAGCTTTCAGTCTGCAGGACAAAAACGACGGGACGCTTTGGGAATAGTTAAATGGGATGCTCAAAATTCTAAAAATTGAGCCACTAATGGTATACTGGTTACTTGTGGGAAGGATATTGTAACGGAGAGAAAACGGTGAAAATCCCTCTGCAGCTTCTTCGTTGAACAGTATTGTCATTTATTTGTTCCTTCTCCCTTTTGTGTATTCTAACCTTTGTTCCGATCTCTTTTAACCATATCTTTTATTCTTCAGTCTTCCTCGTTTGGGCCTTTATTATGTGATTTTGATTAAAGACTTATCGTTTGTTACCTAATTTTCTATTGCGTGTTGCCGGACCATTGACAGTAAGGTCGTGTTTGACTAAGCTCAAGGTCACGGCGTGGTTCAGTTTGTGACTGTTAACCTTCTGACTGTCTGCTTGGGAGAATTGCTGCAATCCCTGCAGATAGATATTTGATCCTATCTTGTTGGGAATATTTGAATTGATTCTCAGATATCAAACCCTTTAGTATTAACTGTCTCTTTCATTGTTTAGCGCGCTACTTTGTGTTAGAGGAACTTCTGACTGTATAGCACAGGCTGTAACGTTCGAGGTATTTTGTATTTTTGATGTAATTTGTTCTGTTTTCTTAATTAGAACCGTTTATATTGAGCACAGAGTTTGTGTTTTGATATAATATAATACGAGTATCTCAAAAACGCGTTATGAGCTATACAGGGGAACATAGTCTGGTCTAATCAAATAAATTTAGGGTTCGTCAGTCCGTTGTTCCAACCGAATATTGGCTGTTCGGTCGCTATAGATATAAAAAATCAAGGACATTCAAAATTCCTTCATGTAACGTTCACCAACACTACGGACGTAGAGTATGTGTAGTGGCAGTGGGCCCTAGCACGAGACAATATGGGAAATAGACATTCAACACTTAACACGGAGAAAAACCCGACGATGATGAGGGCGGGAAGAAAGAAGTGAATTAATTGGAGTTGATCGTATGGCATGGCTCGGCCATACAGGCGTGGTCCCAGATGAATATTACCTTATATCTTATATTCATATTAAATATATTGTTCCACCACCAACCTAAGAATGTTCTCTATCATGTATTGGTAACTACTACGGTGCAGTGAGTTGGTGTAGACGATGATGTGACTTCCACGTAAGATCTTATAGATTAGGCAGTTATATCATGACAAATCTACAATTTTAGGATTAGGTCTATTATTAGAGCAGTACTAATATCATAGTAGACCATAATTCTTCATATGTTCTTCTGGTCAGCCACATGCTAAAATCAGTGGAGGATGAAGGATATCGCGAGGCTTGCTGTAATCTGGGCACAATCTCATCAAGAACATGATGATTATGCGAGGCGACCTCGAAAAGACGGACCCTGACTATGCAGACCATAATCTTCTAGAGCTGAAATTCATGAAGTGGTCCTTGAAGCCCAGGTACATCGTGACACAAAAAGTGGTGTTATTATCCGAGGGCGATGGGGATTCTAGACCCAGACTAATAAAGACAGAGTTCCCACCCTATAAAGTGACTGCTGTCACTCTCAAGGCACTCTAAGCTGACAAACTCTGGTCACCAAGTGGAATTTACATGCATCTGGACGGGTCACATGATGCAAGGATTAAGCACGCAAGCAAGTGGGAACTGACTATTACACTCGTGGACTGTCTGGAACAAGGAACAAATTGAGAGGGACAGGGACTGCGTGCTTAGAAAACTCTATGTGGATAGGTTGCCAGTTCACTCACACAAGGTCCATGCAGACAAAGAACGGGGAATATCTAGCGTTTTAAATTGTAGGCACCAACTACTGATACAGAAACTCTGCAAGTTTACCATACAAAATGAATAAATCGCATGAACTATGTGAAGTCAATAATACTCATCCGATGAAACTGTCTAAAGTGAAGGCATCATTTTATATTATTGACAAAGGACTGGCATTATACGGCACGTTTTAGTCCCGCGACAACAGAAAAACAGGAGTGGGGGCGGAGCAACCCTGTTGATACCGTCAAGCCTCTGGCAGAACAGTATTCTCATACGTTTTAACCGTCACATACAAACCACATCGACTAGGGCTTCGCCGGCAACTCAACGGGACTCTTGGAGGTGAACTTGAGCGCTGACCTGGTGCATCAGAAACCGTAGCACCCAAGCATTGATACTTCTGGTTCGAATCTGATTCATAGGATTATAGTGAGAGAGGCGGTTTTATTCTTGACAAAGCCGCTTAGTACAAGGATCTCACATTCACTAAGCTCAGGCACAGTCCCAGAAGATTGAAAGTCGACGAACATTTAGTCAGTTTTTGAGAGAAGCTGACTGAGCGAACCTTTCGGCTGGTAGCACTTCTATCACTACCATCAGAAATTGCGAAGTCTTTGATACACAACTATTTACATGTTATCCATAATCCTCTTTAGACCTCAACAGCATGGGTTAAGGAAGAACCACCTTTGTGCAACCGACCTTCTGACCTCTATGAACAGGCGGACAACCGTTCTTGATCGAAGGGAGAGAGTTGATGTCATAAACATGGATTTCTTAAAATCTTTCGATAGTGTCAGTCGTATATACCTGATCAGTGGGCCCGAAATGCTGGGTTCCAACTCATTTTTAATTGATAGGTTTACACCATATCCATATAATCAGTTTTATAAGTCTAGGACAAACCTCAATTTTTCTCATACTACACAATGCCTTGTAACAACTTAGGTTTACTGGTAAAGATTTGTCCACAAACATCTTGGTAATGTCATGACATTACAGCTTAAGACTACTGTCACAAACCCATAGTTGTATATTTGGTTGTGATTGGAACTTCTGACAGATACATATGGATTTTTTTCTTGAAAAAAGTAACCTACCGTTTCAATGCTTCATCGCGCTCGAGTTGGCTAGACCGTGTCTATTTCCTTTCAGGTTACCAACCCGTTTGGAAAACAAAAACTTATGTGGAACCGAACACTTATCACTTACAATTTTATATTTCCTTATGTATATATCTGTAATATATTTCTGCCATGGCGAAACATGCCATTTTTAAAGGCATGATCTGATTGCCTGATTGTTTTGTATAAGCAGTGCAGCAATTCCCCAGATTTGACTAACTTTAATTACATGTTTTTCCTCGAAGTATATTCTTCTTTATTTTTGACTTGAGGGCGATTCAAGAGGCACATGAGTAAACACCTGATAAGCCGTCAGGGAAATCGTAACTCACAATCATGGTGTTGGGTGGCCTGCTCGCAATATTTATTAAGATATTCTTGTTTCATTTACCTACCCTCCACTCTCTTACAAATTCTGATTCTCATCTGGAGGACACGATCAAAAATCATGGGTGATAATTTGAGGAAGAAGGCAAACGCTGTGAAATAGGATAAAAAGCAAGTAGAGTATATGAAATTTATGGAGTATTTCCAAATACTGATTGATTGAAGTCAAACACTGAAGGAGTTAATGATTCTCCTTTGGGCTGAGGTAATAGAACTGACATGTTCTTGTTTGGTAAGGATGCACTGACACGTATCCAAAGGCGAGCCACGAAATGAGTTCGGGGACTGAAATTCAAACATTGCAAAGAACGGATCAAATTATCGACTCACAAAATCCTAAACACTTCTTAGCACCTCCGAAAATATCCACATAAGCTCAGTCCCAACACAAATCTTAGGGGTGGCACGCAGAAATCAAAAGCAAAACAGAGAAAACTGGATCACAATCACACCTTTTACTCCTTGTGAGTAGTCAAACCCTTGAATTCTCTGCCAGTCAAGGTGGTCTAAGCCATTTCCCAGGAGTCCTACAAGAAAAAACTTGACATATTCTTAAGGACTAAAGACGATATTTCACAATGACTTACCAATATTTATTTTTCATCAATAAATATACCTAAGTTCTTACTTAGAGAAATCAGTGATCCACTAATAACAGATACAGAAGTTCGTTAAACGAAAGTTGCTTTTATTCCGTCCACAATCACTTGCCCATTTAACTCAAGGTCGTCCGGGGCAAAATATCTGGTAAATTTGATCGTCTAACTTCACGTTTAACTTCGAGTTGGAATATGTCCGAATTACCGTATTGTATTGTGTATTATATAACACTTATGTTTGATCAAGTGTTTTTATTCTTATTTCTTTTTACACAAGAGACACATAGTTATTGCCTTTGACTGTCGTTTGTGTATAAACGATACCATAGTTGCAACTATAATACTTCCCAATTTCCCTATTTCGGGAAAGTTTCATCCGTTTTAGGTAAGTTTTGGGGAAGCCGCTACAAAAAGCTTCGGGGAAATGGCACAAAACCTCAAAATTTCCACAGGTCTCAAAAGTCATCGGGAAATTTCGGGTTTTCCCCAATATTTCTCCATAATCTCATGACACCTTGGTAATTTAAACTACAAAATTTCTTACGACTTTACCCAAAATAGCAATACTGTGTTCCTAAACAACTGATGAAGAGGAAATAAATTGGAGCAACGTGGAAATAAAGTGGACATTTCGTTAGCATATAAAGGAGAAATAATGGGGAAACGCACCAGAATGTCCACCTTTTCGCCTGCTATGGGTAAATAGTGCAGAATTCACCCCTTCTTGTTTCCCTATGTCCCAAATGTCGCTGAGTTGTCTACTTCTGCCTTAATTTAGACACCGAATTATTCAGTTTTCGCCTATATATATATATATATATATATATATATATATATATATATATATATATATATAATACAAATATAATATAAACAAAGTCTGACAGTGGAAAACCATGACACACTCCACTTGAGGTATACAACTCGGGTAAACTTCATCATAAGCTCTGATTCGACCAGTAGTGTCTAAGTAGAGAACTTTCACAAGGTTAATATACTTATTTGGTACACCTTTCAGTGATAAACTCGGTCACGAAACCTCTCAATCGACAAGTTCAGATGCTTCCTTGCGGTCATGAAACTGTCCGCCGGTATGTGTGCCTGTTTTCCAAAATCTGACGAAAAGTAAATATTCAGTTCATACATGCACCTTTATGCGTGAAACATTCGCGATGCTCCTCAGTTCGCTTCTGACGAGTTCTAGTTAAGCATCACGTGATTATAGATACAAATATTTCAAATACTGTCAGTCGAGTTGACTTGTTTGTGGTTATCACAAGAAGATTGCTATCCTTTTTTATAAACTGAAAATCATCGATCAAGATCAGCCAGACGGGAGCATATCCTACTCCCAAACTCTTACCAGTATTCCAGTCACCCTAGCTGATCAGAGTTCAAGCTTGTGGCTGAAAAGAGATGTCAGTCTTTTGTCAAGCCTTTCAAATGATGGGTGATGATGATATGATCTATTTGTGTCCACCGTTGTGTTGATGTCGGAAGGTACCAGTCCTCACATTATCTCTTGTTATGTTCAAAGTTTGTAGTTGCTAGGACTAAACGGTTGTTTGAGCGTATTTAGAGGAGACGGTCACCGTTATCTGCTGCGTTTTCCTGTGATGCCCTCAGGCACAATGAAGTATTTTTCAGTTTGATTTAGCTTACGGATGTGAGCGTTAAGGCGATCTGCTACTACTATTTTGTAAGAGTGCCTGGTTTTCCTAATGTCGTAAAGTTTTTTGTAAGTCACTTTGTACTCTATTTAAGATGAAGTTATCGGAACTTTGGCCGAGATGACGAAGGGACAGTGTGGTTTGTCAGTATATTTCGGTGTTCTTACTATATTGTTGAGATGGACAGCAAATAAGCGAAGTTACTAACTGCATTTGGCGATTTGTGTATGTAAATGTCTTAATGCTAAAAGTATAAAATTATCCTGAAAAGATTTATTTGCAGAAATAAAATTTTTAGGAGAAATTAAAATGCTGTATCCTCAATTTTAAGTAAAAGTAAATTCAGCTTGTTTACTGTTGGTTGAGCATAATTCTCGTCAATTTTTATATCATTGTTCGTCTCTAGATCATTTAAGCCTTTGAACTGAAATAGAATGGCTCGTATTGAACTCATACGTAGATTGCGACTATTCACAGTTTTACGTCGAATGTCAGATTATGATAATCGATTTGGTACAACCAAACTAGTGATGCCAGTTGTTTCACGTCCTGCTTCATTTTTTTCTTTCATCAAGTCGAAGCTTAGTGAAGCTGCCTCTAGTCAGTCTAAAGACTCTCAGAGTGTACCAAATGACAGGTAAGTTGGATCTACCTTCAAATTTTCTTATTTTATCATAACAGAATTTTTCATTGATCATAGATTGCCAGAAGTCTAATCTTGTTTCTCGTACGAATAAATAAATTTTCTGGTCGCTAAGATGTCAATTTCATAATTCATTTTATACTTTATTGGGAAGCAAAAAGGTTTAGGACGACGGGACATCACACTAAACGAAATAGTATTCTTGTAAGGAAAAGTAAAAGTGAACCTTGTGGTTACAATAAGGACTATAATACTAAAAGAGATGATTCAAATTCAAATATAACCAAGGTAGATTTCTTTCTCCTCAAAATATATCTTACTGTCTATGAAAAACATAAACATGTTTAATGATGTTTCAACTTACAAAGTTTCGTAATTTCTATAATCTTATTCACATAGTCTTAATGAACTAACAAGTTCTTACCTGATAGTGCGATTTTTCATATTTCAATATTATTCTTAAGAATGACAACTCCAGCCAGCTTCACAGTTAGGAAACAGTCACATGAAGAGCGTTTACAAACTCCTTAAGTGAATGTTGTACGACAACTCCACTAATTTGGTTATCACCAATATACTGAGACACGTCACCTAGTCTCTCAATCGAATGTAAGGTGAGTAATATTACAAAAGCAGAAATGGTCCAACAGAAAACCGTATAACGTACTCAGCTCAAAGCTTATGCTTCACAAAAGCATAATACAGGTATTGATACCGAAGTGTTGTACACTGGACCTTATATTCATTAGACTAACATGATAATAGTGCTAAATCTGATACTGTCCACCACACTACTACCAAAAACATCTACTTAAATACCTGTACTATTCCCAATGCCTTACAATAATATAGTGAGAGCAATCATAGGGTCCTCCTATTCTTGTATAGTTACTGTTCACTTCAATGATACATGCACCTGTCTATCATGCTGTTTAATATTCTTAATTTTTCTAACGTAATTACGGCGGAATCAATACATTTACCACTATTTTCTAAATAGTCTAACAGTCGTAGCTTAAGTGACAAGTCAAACCTTCAACAGCATGTTTAGTATCAGTTGTACAGTTCAAAAATATTCTTTCTTGTAAAGTTAACCTATAGAACATGAACATCAGAGATAAACGATACTTGTAGACTTCAATGTTTTATCATTCTTGGAGTATTTATTGTGTATTATGGTACTTTTTAAAAACCTTTATTGATTAAAAATTGAAACATCCCATGAAAACCTTTTGTCCTTACTTTCCTATGAGCTATATCAAAAGTTGTTGGCTTTTTGATATAAGCTCATGAGACATGATAAATTCAGTTGTAAACGCTAGTTTAAGCTGCTTCGAAATTGATCTTAGCAAACAAAATACACTTAATTTTCATCACTACTAGGAGTATGAACAGTATTATTTCATACAGAATGTTTTACCACTCGTTCTAATTTCACTAAATTTAATTCGATGTATCGCTTCGTGTTTATGTTTTCTTTTGTTTCACTGTTAAGAGATAATCTGTTACTTTTATATCAAAGACTTGTTAATTAATGGTTCATTTTGTTACTAATCAAAATAAAAGGACTTTCAGTTGAGATTAGTGTAACAATTTCTACGTTGATACATTATTATTCCGATCCTTCGTTCAGTTTCACTTCAATCGCCATTTAGCTTACTCATGTTTAGAAACTCAACTAACAGAAAAATATCAGTCGATTACAGCCTGACTTTTATTATAGCTCTACTCATTGTTTTGTGTAAACAGCTTCCATAATTTAACTACTAAAAATTACTTAAATTGAAAATTGGCTATTCCATTTTGGTAGGTATCGAAATTGTATATTTCTGAGGTATCACGAAACACTAGTTCAGTACTGATTTATTTGTTTTTCAACGTAACTATTCGGGAAATGTTTAGCATTTCAAAGAATACTCACACTCACATTCAATTTTTGTATTTTGTTTCCCTTCGAAAATTTTAGTGAGTGGTTGGATGCAGTCCAAGAAGTTGAAAAATCGGAATTGTTACATTGGAAAGGATCTGATACTAGTATGACTAGGACAGAACTTCGAAAATGGAAGAAACGTACATTCCTTGTAAGCAATACTCACAGGATGTATTTTCTTTTATTGTAATCATATACACTTGTTATATATGATTTTTCAAAGTGTTAGCTACATTATAATGTACTTGATTTAGTTATTATCAATATAGAACCCAAGCACAATGAGTGTGCATTTATCCAAGTTGCCATACTTCATATCAGAGTAGCTATTGGAAATCAACAAATTAACGATAGTTGGATGAGAAGTAACATGGATAGCAATTATTCTCGTACTCATTTTGATTATTTTCTTTAACTTGATTCCTGACCATATAGTTAGTGATAATTTTCTCTAACAAGTTGATAAATTTGGTCTGTTTCAGTATGGTTATTGATTGTGTAGTAACCTGACTGCTAAGTCAGTGGTTTTCCTCTATATTATCTTTGTCCAATATGTCGACGTTTTCCTAGTCGAACACTTGTCCACAATTGGGATTTCTAACAACTCGTAGACATCAATCAACAAAAGTTATACTTATTAACATGAATTCTAACAACGATCATTGACTCTATAAACTGATAATATATTTATCTGACTATCTCTAGTCATTTTTCCTCCCACACCTAATCAGCAACATATTTTGGAAGAAAAAGATAACGTATTTCTAGTCAGTTGCCACTATTTCCTCTACTTCACTCCGCATCCCATTAACTTCGTATTTTTATATCTTTCACTACGTTGATTTGACGTGTTACGATATGCACCAATAATATGCATGTATACCATATTTATAATTCTTCTATGACTGATTAAACAACTAATAACATGTAATGCCTAAAGTTTGTACTTTTATCTCTTGTTATATTATTACAGCATATTTTAGAAATGTTTATTCAACGATCAGGACCAAGTCGTAAAGGTTTCACTTCGTTTATTGAAAATGCACTAATTAAAATGCCTGAATATGAAGTGGTTGATGATTTAGATTGTTATAAAGCAGTAATTCGTTTATTTCCTACTGGACGAATGGTTGTGAAACGTTTCTTACAAGCTGATTTTGGTCATTTTCCAAAACAACAACAAGTTATGATTGACATATTAAGTCAAATGTCAAGATATCGTGAGTTGAATCTCTTTATTCCATGAAAAAATCTTTTTTACATCAGTGTAAGTGTTCTGTTGTGACTCTTTTAGTCTGATGACTTAAATATCCGAAGTTTAAAGCAATAGGCATTGAGTTTGAGTCCATTTGTGATTATCAACATTGGTATGTAGACAAACCCAGCTTATGAGTCTTGTATCCATAGCCAATTTTCAAGTATAGGGATTATGTAGCCATGCATTTAGAGAGCCCATATATTGTCAGATAAATCAAATTCAATACTGAATATCAAAGTGAATAAAAAAAACAAACTGTTACAACTAGTTGTAAGTGTGCGCAAACACGAGAGAATCAAGTTGGTTTCAGACCTGGTCGTGGTTGCATCGACCACATATTCACCATTCGTCAGGTTCCAGAACATAGGCATACTTATCGGCGTCCGACAATGGTGGTCATTCTTGACTTAAAAGCAGCATTTGACTCGGTAGACCGCGAGATTCTGTGGCAGTGTCTGTCATTGAAAGGCATACCTCAGAAGTACATAAACCTTGTGAAGGCTCTGTACTCGAACACTACTAGTCGAGTCAGAGTTTATGGCGAACTGTCATCTGATTTTGCAACCTCAAGTGGTGTCCGTCAAGGCTGTCCACTTTCTCCATTTTTGTTTAGCTTCATCATAGACCTATTGATGGGAATAACATTCTTGTCTACTGAATTATCGGGTATTGATCTCCTTCCAGGAGGTCCACTTATGGACTTAGAATACGCAGATGATATAGTCCTGTTTGGTGAAGACGCTGATAGAATGCAGAGTCTTTTGGTAGCACTAAGAAACAATGCCAGAATGTTTGGAATGCACTTCTCTCCCTCTAAACGCAAGCTGCTGCTTCAGGACTGGTCTGCATCAACACCTGAACTAAGGATAGGGAGTGAAGTAGTCGAACGCGTTGACAACTTCACTTATCTTGGAAGTCTGATCAGCCCTAATGGGTTGGTTTCTGACGAAATCTCAGCACGGATTCGAAAAGCTCGTTTGGCTTTTGCCAACTTACGTCACCTATGGCGAAGGCGAGATATCCGTCTGTCAATAAAAGGACGAAAATACTGCGCGGCAGTTCGTTCTGTTTTAATTTACGGCAGCGAAACATGACCATTAAGAGTAGAAGACACTCGTAAGCTACTAGTATTTGGCCACAGATGCCTTAGAAATATTGCTGGCGTCTGCTTGGATCATCGAGTAAGTAATAGTGAGGTTAGACACCAGGGTATTAGGGAATGATGGTAAATCAGTTGATGAGGTTGTGAATCTTCATCGACTGAGATGGTTGGTCCACGTATTACGTATGCCTGAACACCGATTATCACGACGCGCAATGCTGACTAGTGTTGGGGATGGTTGGAAGAAAGTTAGGGGCAGTCAAACCAAAACGTGGCATCAGTGCTTGAAGTCACTAACTTCCAGTCTGAGCCGTGTTGGCAGATGCAGACTACTTGGTTGGGGCCCGCGTGACTTTCGTAACCAATGGTTGGAGACTCTTGGTGACATGGCTCAGAATCGATCACAATGGCGTCGGTGTATACACTCTGTCTTCCCTTAAACTGAGAGATTAAAATCGCTTCATATCTTTCTTTCTACGAACTAATTCTTTCTTCCTGTGCTATATCTTTATTACAATCTTTCTTTTATATATTACCACCTCTGAATTAACTACTTTTATGCATCCGGTGTTCATCTTGTTGTGTTAATGAGGTATGGCAACTTGGACCGATGCATATATGTGCCTGGTCCTACGTTGTAGCTGACTAACTGACTGAATTGTAAGTTTAATTCATTATCCCATATTATCAGCGACTGTTTACCATACCATAGTATACAACCAAAATTAATAGCATTTAGATAGAGATGGTTAATAATACTAAATAGACAGATCAATTCGTGTAGTATCTGATTGTTATTTTCAATTTCGGACTTAAGTGTAGGCATTTTTGTCCGACAAATGGAATCAGTAGCCTGGGATAATTCTTAAAGACATTCAGTGATAGACATTATAGTCCAAGATGCCGAACTGCATACATCGCGAATGAAAATTAACAATCATACTCATTCTCAAACTTTTTTTTCGTTCTTCAATCTCATTCGTTTTTTTTGCACTGTTTTACAGTGTCGTCGACTTCCATTGCAGTTACGAAATTAATTTCTCTGCTTCTCTTGTTGATTTGTCCTGATGTTTCAAATCAAACTTAAATTGATACATATTCATGGCAGGTTTCCATTTGATAATGATGATTGACAACTGTCACCCACTAGAATTAAATATTAAAATTTATTTTTTAACCGATCTTGGTACGTTTGAAGAAACCTACACTTAAATAAAAATCTAGTTTTCGCTCGTTCACCAGTATGGAATAATATTGATTCTATTACCAAACAGTTTAGCTCAACCACTCGATTCATTTTACTAATACCAATCAGTTCGTTATAATAAGTGTCAACATTGTTTAGTCTGATGTACTAATGGTGAGCTTTTAAATTACGGGACTAATAATTATTAATCACAAGTATATTTATTTAATATACTTCTTTTCTTACTGAATCATATCTCTTAAGCCTAATCTTTTCTATTACCATTAATATTGCTACTACTCTGGCATCTTGGTGCGCTGGTATGATGTGGCAACTTAAACTGACGCATATATGTGCCAGATTCTACAGTGCGTATAAATGTCAGTCCTATACAACTTTCTTTGATACCCCAGCATCATGACATAAACGACTGTCAATGGGGTCCAGTCGATTGTTTCTACCCGTGCTATGTCTCTTAGTTCGGCACCAGCGCCAGTTAAACCGAATTATGGTACCATCGTACCCCTGGATAAGCACCTATAAAACAAATTTTCCGAATCAACAGATGGAGAACCAATTTGTAGCTTTTCTTCAGAGTTTCGAATACGGTCTGCCGGGTGGAAAACATCAACGTTAAGACTTTTTAAATACATAGTCAAACATGTCTGTTTTCCTATCTGTTGTAGTGTCCTGACCTTGGAGAAAATCTTTTAAAGTGGTACACATGACCTTAGGAAAATTGATTCAAATTTTGTATTCGGTAGTAACATTCAGATATTTGAATATTCAGCAACTTGAGATAGTTTATACAGAACAGAGCTTTCGATATAAATGAGTTAATGAATGAGTTGAATAACAGGAGTTTACACAAAATGAGAATAAAAAGGGACAAAAAGTTGAAGCAAAGTAATTTAATTTTTTTACGAGTCGATTATAGGTATTGCTTGATTAAGTAATGGAGCAGAGAGAATAAAACAGTTTTTTCTTTTCAAATTTATATTTGCAATCATTAGAATTTCTGTCTCGGTTTGGATTAATTTTGATAACGCAGTGTATATACAGTTAAATTATAGTAGCTTTTTGTATACCTTATGTGAAGTTTTTTTATTATTACGTTGAAATTCACTAGACGTCCTGCCAGATGATGAAGTTGGCCAAATGATTATCGACATTTTCGGTTGGCGTAATCATGCTATGAATGCTTATCGTCGTCTAATGTATTGGATGCCTAAATTGTATTATAGTAATCCATGGACATTACCACTTCGTATCGTTGATGATCTTGATTTAGATCCCATTAAATTGGGCTGTTTAATTGCTGAAAGAATATGCCCCGATCGGATGACAGAATTCACTGTTGTACAGGTTAGTTAATTAAACAAAAATTAGCGTCTATCGATTAATACAATTTTATTAAGATGACTACGTCAGTCAGTCATAATCATTGTAGTCTGACACATTTGTGAGTTGACCCCAGGTTCTCGTACCACATCAGCACGATCAGATGAAATTACCAACATGAATAATAAATGGGTCGAGTATGATTTGAAAAGACTGAATGAAAATGTAGTCGTGGAAGAATGTTGGAACTCAAAATCTCGAGAGGAAGATAAAAAGTGAGTGGATCTGTGTCTTTGTGACCGATTCAGAGTTATATTAATCAAAATCTTGTGAAAACTCAAGTTTGAGTCCAATTTGAACGTAATTTTCATCACTTATTGACGTCCAGCTAGAAGACCCCTACAAAACAAGGACACTCGACAGTTATTTCGGTACTCACAGTCAGTAAGAATTTAGTGATCTGAAAGTTTTGGCTTAACTAGGATATTAAAGGCATTGGGCCCGAATCCTAATCTGTACTATCAAGTAATATACAATTGGGTCCGATTCCCGCGTTTGAGGTCGTTGATACTCAATACCGAGGAGTTTTATACGTGGAAAAAATCTCGTTTAGTACTTCCAGGTTTTCAATAGTGGTTTAATATTGATCGGTTCACGATTTCAAATAAGCACTACTGTAAAACCCAACAAAAATGCACGCAAGTTAGTTCAGTCAACTATTACTCATTTACCCAAAACCAAAGTAGTTAAATTAGTTTCAACCAATGACGCAATGGATGAATGGTTAAGTACTTCAAGTAATGAATCAAAAGTCCACACATTCAACATGACCACCGATGTTGTGTAGGTAGAAGCCAACTTTGATTGGTTGATGTTCTAGATAGACAGTCAAATATATCCAATGTGTAATCAATGTTTTTTACCCTCTGTATTTTTTCATAATATGTGTTAGTCAGGAGAGTAATGTTTTCTTAATGGAATTTCATTTGACATGTGATGGCCTAGTCGCTATCTGGATATCTATTATGGTACGTGTCAATTCCATACTTAATATTTACCATTCTATTGCTCATTCAAAGAAATCTAGTGTTCTAAAAAAAGTTAAACTTCATTTCAATTAGTTACTATTCATTGGACCCATTTTTATGTACGTAACATATTCTCTCATCACTTTTTATGCTGCTTATTGATAAAAAAAAGGTTGTTAGGTTCATCCCTTTGCTTTTAGTAGTATTTCCCTAAGAATTAGATTATTTTAAGATTCAGTAGAGATTTGGAAATTTCTGCTTACTTAACCTACTATTAAAGTTCATACTTTTTCGCAACAAAAATCTGTCATGGACAAACAATCCGTATTCTTATCATGACCATTGCCGTTCTCTTAGTAACCAAATAATCTTCTAATATCTTAACTTGTTATATGCCTTTCAGAATCATGTGCACATTTTATGTTTACAGAATAATTGTATCATCCTTTTCATTTTCAGGAAACTTACGTCTGTGACCCTTCGTGGGAGCATAGACCGCCAACCAGCTGTCTGTGCTGTCCTTTCCGATTGTTTCCATTCGCTGTTCATTCTTTTCATGTCTGTCTCCAATTCCTTTCGTAATATGTCTCTCGGTCTTCCTCTTTTCCTTTTGCCTTCGGGATTCTGAGTTAGGGCTTACCTTGTGATGCGGTCTGATGATTTCCACAGTGTATGTCCTATTCACCTTCGGCATCTTTTTCTAGTTTCCTCTTTAGCTGGAAGCTGGTTTGTTCTCTCCCACAGTGGGCTGTTGCTGATGGTATCCGGTCAATGGACATTGAGTATGTTGCGTAGACAATTGTTTATAAATAATAAATAGTGTACAACTGCATCTCTCGAATCTTATCTTTTCTGTCCAGGTTGGATTCAATGGCTTCCACTTATTCCGAGCACCGCCAAATTGTATCTCCTCATTCCCGCAGCAGTTCGACTGGTCCTCCTAATCTCCCATATTGTCCGAACATTCCACATACCTATATTAATTGTTTCCCTGATTGTTGGAAGGTGGGTCGGCATAATGTCTTCTGAAGAATCTCGGTTTTCATCATGAGGCGTAATAATTCTCCTAAATGAAGATCCTTCAACTTCCAGGGTAGAGTATGAATAGTCTAAACGATTTTTTCTCGTTAGCGTCTCTTTAGCAAGGTTGTTTTCTATGGGATTGGGTTGGTAATCCCATGCAAAACCTCTTATCCAGACTTAGGACCGGCAGTAACCCCGAAAGGACTACTGATAGAATTTTTTTAGAAGACTGATTACTTTGATGTGTAAGGACGATCTAAGTGTGAATTAGTGCCACTACTATGGATGAAGCGCGTATTGTTCATATTGTAGCATTAGATTTTCTGCGCATTAATATCGGAATACATCATGCTAATTGCGAATATCTAATGTAACCGGTATCTTTTATCTTTCTTGTTTTCGCCATGATTATTGAACTTCTTTTTTGCTGGTATTTTTTAGATGTCTTCATCTAATCCTAATAGACCAGATTCACTTATCAGTGCTCAAAGTCCTGAACAGCGTGCATTACTAGCATATTGTACTAATAAACAAATTCACAATGATCAAATTAATAATACTCAATGTACAAAACCAACGATTTATTTAGATGGACCACATTATGTATGGTTTAGAAATTTACAAGTAAGTGGGGTTGATGTACTGAGAATTAACATAATTAATAATATTCAGTCAATTTTTGTTCTCTGAGCTGAATGGTGGTTTAGTTGTGGAGCTTCCGAGCAACATGACAATTTTGTTGAAAGTTCCACAACTAAACCATCCAGCTCGGAGAATGAAAATCCATTTACATGAAATTCAAATATTACCCACCATCTTAATGTACATAGATAATTCATATCTCTTCAATTTTATTCTTTGATTGATTGTATCTTTAAAAAGTGAAATAAATTTTACTCCATTTGTGATTAAGTAAATGGTTCAAGTATGTCTACAAAGTTTGTTTTATCTAATTTATAGTTGTTTCCGCTTCCTCATCCCCTAATCCAGCTGTTAGATACCTAAATACAAAGTAAATCCGATTCGTTGACATCAATGTTTTCTCAATATCTGTAGGGTCGTTTGAGACATGTACTACTCATCAAAGGGATGAAGAGTGGTTATGGATTATGACTTCATCTACCGTTATAAAACATTTCTCAGCGAAAATTTGGCAAACTAATTTGTGTCCATAAAGGATTACCTCAAATATAAATCCATTTAGATTATTACTCAGTCGTAATCAATGTGAGATACGGGACGGATGTTCTAGTTACCTCGCGTCATATTTGTACAGTGAGATAAAATTAACAAAATAGCAAAGGAGTCGAAATAATCATAGTATCACTGGTGTTTGTCAGGGCTGTCTACTCTCTCTATTCTTGTTTAACGTGTTTTTAGAGATAACAATTTCCTCATCTAAATTTCCAAGGGTTGAACTTTTACCGGGTGATTCACTTGTTGACTTAGAAAATGATGATGACATAGTTCTATTTGGTGAAGACGCTGACAAAATACAGAGTCTTCTGACCACTGTAAGCACCAATGCAAGTATGTCCGGCATGCGATTCTCCCCTTGAGATTCGAAATGTTGCTTCAGGATGTGGGTTGCATCGACACCTGAACTAATGATAGGGAGTGAAGTAGTTGAGCGTGTCGACCGCTTCACTTATCTTGGAAGTCTCATTAGCCCAAAGTCTCCGACCATTGGTTACGATATTCTCACGGACCTCGAGAGCATTATGTGCATCTACCCATATGACTCTGTCCAATAGACAGTGACTTCACGTTTTGATTTGGCCGCCCGTGACTGTCTCCCAGCCTACTACACTAGACGACATGGCCCGTCGAGGTAAGCAGTTGTTAGACATGCACAACACGTGTCTTAGTCACCTAAATTCATGAACATCCACTGTCTCGTTAACTAATTTACCATGTTTACCTAGTACTAGATATCTAACTTTAGCATTGGTTACTCGAAAGTTCGGAAGCCAGTGTTAATAAATGGTGTGGTGATGTTTCTCTTGTAAATTCTTTATAAACGTTTGTGTCTTAACTACTACACTCTTTATTGTTTTGGTCATTTTATATGTATCGTGTTTTCATTTTATCCTTATTCTGGGTTGGGACAAGTTGAGTGACATGTAGTGGTTATAGATACTAAACAGGTGGAGTCGTAACATGGTGTCAATGTAATCCTCTTTTTTTCTCCTTACTTCTTTATGCATAGGCTGCTTATTACACCTTATGGACAGAGATCGATGCTGATCGATTAAAAAAAGAAATTAATTCAGTAAAAGTTAACCAAGTGCCAAAGCATAGTGCAGACGGTAAGTGTTTATTTCCGTTAAAGATCCTGTTGTTGTGTTTTTCATGTTATAAAATGATTTTATATAAGGTAGTCGATCAAGACAGAAATTATAATGATCTTACCTACTCTATAAACCACCAACTTTGGTACTGTATTCATTCACACGATCAGTTGACTACACGTCCTCAGATCTCCAATCAACAAACACTATAAATCCCAGATGAATGGTTGTAAGTATCTTTCCAGATCACAACACCACGAAGTACAAGATACAACGACAGCTAGTGAGTTGAATCAACAGTTAGGACTATATAATTACTCATCAAGGAATAACCACCCAAGTTTGATATTTCCTTCTTGCTTACTTTTCTTAATTGATATACGTCTCTAATCAATCTTTAGGGGGAAGTAATTGTAAGGTGATTCTTTTTTAGAAGATTTTCAGTTGAAATAGTTGTTGATTTCAATATCATATGAATTAAATTATTAATCGATCTGTTTATTGTATTATATGGCTTAAAGTCTAATAAGTTTATGCCTTGAACATGCTTTACTTTACTCACCTCTAAGTCTAATCACCAGTGTTCTGATATTTTTGATCCCATATGGTATCATTTAACTAATGTTCAAAGTTCTCAAATAACTGTCAGACTCAACTTACTCGGCTGCAATCATGACAAAAACATAATCCTAAAATAAAGCACTTTACATTCTACATTGATATTTTAAAGATTAAAAGTATCAGTTAATCGAACCAGACTAAATGATGCCGTTTTTTATAATGAAAATTGTTGTTCTTAGACTTGATATTTGTACTTCCAATAAATCTCAGAATACAAGAAAATGAATGTCTGCCATATTTTAGTTTCCATTGGTTACCCGGTTAGTGTTTATACCTGATGGAATACGCCTCATCACTTATGCTGAATGATCTCAATAAAATTACTTGAAATGTTTCAACCAATTACATCATTGCATCACTGATCGTTCCTCTTATTTTCTATATTTCTCTCTTCAATTCTAAATTATCTTCCATACTTACTGTAGGAAAATTAATTAGATAAGTTACAAACCATTTATTAATTAGACTATCAATGCTATTCAATGAATACTCAGAGTGAATAGCATCAGACATTTGCTGAAATTTGTAGAAAACCAAGAAATTCATAAAGGAGTTCTGTTTACACATAAATCAAGTGCTGCAGTGGAGATCGTAAAGTCATAAAAGCATTATACAGGGTCAAGATGACAGTTGAACTTTTGTATTGATGACAAGATCGGATGCATATCGTCTTTTGTGTTTTGAAATTTCTGATTCTCTCTCTGAGTGATTGTTGATTATTTAGATATGAGAAGATCGTCGTCGCATGTGATCCTCTCAGATAGATTGAATAATTTAATTACCGACGATATTTTTAGCACTGAAATTAAATCCGTTACTATAGATAGAAAATATTGCCAAAAGGACGAGATTTGTTCAAATGGAGTTTATGTGACCTTAGCTCGCGTATTTATTGGACAGACTACGTAAAGTCATTAATTCTCCATTTCATAATCACAATGCACTACTTATATCTTACATTTTTCATGTGCGTTTTTATACGTTTTCGTTTTACAGAACCGTATAATCTTTCGTTCTTCAACTATTCTAATGATAGTTCAAATATAGTACTGAATAGTTCCAATTCCCAAAATGCGAATCGCTCACTTTTTCCACATATGAGTCTTCTTCCTACAGTGAGTTCAGTTGGTACTGAATTGCACCATTGTAATGAAGATAATGTCTTTACAAGATTTATAAGTAAGTGTGAACCAGAATTCGATAAACGTTGGCTTTCAATTCGTCAAAGTCATGTCTATAAATACTTACCATCCAATCTATGTCAACATGAACAAGGTGAGGGTACAATACTTGCTGTTGGAGTTGTTGTACCTAAACCAGATGCTTTGGATAATCAGAAAAAGTTATATGATTGGGAAGTTTCTAACAGAATTCATCATACAGATTCAAAAGATTGTAAACAACGAAATCAAAAAGAAAGATACAATTTACCACAAATCCCATCACCTGCATCTTCCGCACTTATTCGACTTTGGTTAAGTGAACTGCACGCTAAAAATCCTTTCTTTGATGATGCTGCATTAGTTATTCGAGTTCCAATGAATATTGATCAGGGCCAAAAATCTGGAAATAATAGTCGTACTGATGATGATTTACATTTACAGAATCAAGATAAGGATATTAAGTATGAATCGTGTAATTAACGGACACATTACATTGTGTAAATAAATTGTTTGCGTTTTGAGTAAACAATAGTAATAATTTTAATTAAAATGTACATATAAACCTCAATGTTGATTATCAGTCTTATCAACTTAGGTATGGACTATTTTCTATGTATTAGTGGAATCATTGTTAAAGAATATGCTTTTTCCTCATGTATTTTACACATAATACGTATCCCTACCTGTTAGAGCAACAATTATTAATCACAAGTAGGGACTGTGATTTTATGATTATTCGATATCTTAATGAATGTATCTTAGTTTAATTTATCCATAGTTTTGCATTAAAAAACCAATTGATACTTTTTAATTTGTCGTACTAATTGATCTTAAGTTTTACTGAAATATACACCCAAGATTAAATAATGTTGAAAGACAGTTTCGCCTCGTGATAGTCATCTGAAAAACGTTAGTTTATACTTCGAATCTGCAAATCACAAACCTATACTTTATAGTAAATGCAAACAAGACAAAAAATAGCGATTGATATTTGACCAAGAGAGTGCTAAGTACGTTGATCCATAGGAACATACAAGCCCGTGGTTGAGCAGCTAGTCACTGATAAGCAAGACTAGTTGTCGAAATAGGATCGGTTGACGTTGCATAAGTGTTGTTTGGCAGAATATAAGCAGTCAGATGAAATTCCTGGCCAACCTCAGATCCTAAAGAATTTTGGATGGACGAATGTTCCTATATTAAATTCTGAAAATAGGTGCTGCGTCAACACCTAAACTGAGGATAGGGAGTGAAGTAGTCGAACGCATTGACAACTTCACTTATCTTGGAAGTCTGATCAGCCCTAATGGGTTGGTGTCTGACGAAATCTCAGCACGGATTCGAAAAGCTCGTTTGGCTTTTGCCAACTTACGTCACCTATGGCGAAGGCGAGATATCCGTCTATGAATAAAAGGACGAGTATACTGCGCAGCAGTCCGTTCTGTTTTAATTTACGACAGCGAAACATGGCCATTAAGAGTAGAAGACACTCGTAAGCTACTAGTATTTGACCACAGATGCCTTAGAAATATTGCTGGCGTCTGCTGGGATCACCCAGTAAGTAATATTGAGGTTAGACGCAGGGTATTAGGTAATGATGGTAAATCAGTCGACGAGGTTGTTAATCTTCATCGACTGAGATGGTTGGGCCACCTGTTACGTATGCCTGAATACCGATTAGCACGACGTGCAATGCTATCCGGTATTGGAAATGGTTGGAAGAAAGTGAGAGGCGGCCAAACCGAAACGTGGCATCAGTGCTTGAGGTCACTAACTTCTAGTCTGAGCCATGTTGGCAGATGCAGACTACTTGGTTGGGGTCCGCGTGACTATTGTAACCAGTGGTTGGAGACTCTTGGTGACATGGCTCAGAATCGATCACAGTGGCGTCGGTGTATACGCTCTCTGTCTTCCCTTAAACCAAGAGATTAAAATCGCTTCATATTTTCCTTTCTACGAACTAATTCTTTCTTCCTGTACTATATCCTTATTGCAATCTTTCTTTTATATATTACCACCTCTGAATTAACTACTTTTATGAATCTGGTGTGCATCTTGTTGTGTTAATGAGGTATGGTAACTTGGACCGATGCGTCTATGTGCCTGGTCCTATGTTGTGGCTGAGTGACTGCTGTTTATCACCAACGTAGATGGTCTATTTTGAATGGTTGGAGGTTTACTCAAGTTAGACAGGAATGGTATGACGAACCACCTAACTTCGAAGTCACACCTCGCTGTCAGCATCTAACGTAGTTATCCCTTCGACGTATCAAAGCACTATGGTTACTTTGAACACCATGTAACACAAAAGACGTTATTATGGAAATATATTTGTAAGAATCAGCACATAGAAGATAGCGAAACCATTACCGCGTGCACCAGTCCATGGCACACGATTAACTGATGCGCAATGGTTGTCCTTGACAGGGATCGACGATCTGTTTGATATTCAATGACCCAACTGCCGGATGATTTGGCTAGGGCTCGATGACATTTCACTGGCCCTACAGATCAGTGCGTTCTGCTGCACAGATATTGTTAGAATTGAGTGGTCTGTATTGTATTCCAAAGGAGTCGAGGTTGTCAAAATCCTAAAAATAGGGATTAACGATTTTTTTGTGCTTGTTGAACGCTTGATTTCGAATTCTAAATACAATACATCCGTTCGTCCTTGTTTAGTACTTCTTGATCCAATTGCATAATTTCTGGGGTCCCTAGTTTGTACTATAAGTCAAATACTTGTAATTATCATATAAAAGTAGTAGAATAAATGCACCAATACAGAATTCACAAAATAGTGAAAGTTAAGGCAGATAGAACTAGGTGAACATAAGTGGATGTATTACATTTAGAATTCCTAATAAACGCTGAGTCAATTAGGGATGGATCCTCACTTAGTACAAATGCCAAAACAGCGTTATCGTAACCATAGTGTATGATTGAAATCCTGAACTGATCACTAATGAAAACCTAAAAGAACAGGTCTTCGGTCGTGGATTTCACAAAACTTCACCAAATTTAGGTGCTTGCTCAAATGGTTTTAGTCGGGATAGAAGAGGCTTTCGCTTAACGGGCTTCCATATTTAGTAGTAGTGGACCACTAAAACCTCCAGGCAGAAGCCTGAGCATATAATTGATGAAATAGGAGTTATAAAAATTGGTGAATAATAGTAAGATATCATCCATCCCCGGTCTAACTGGTAGCAAGTGCGTTTCAACGTTGTCAATGCAAGGTTTTCTCGAAAAGCATTTATGTCGCAGTTAGCGTAAAACTTCAGATTATAGGATACTAACATTCTTAGATTTTTCTTCAACTTGGAATACCTCTGTAAGTGAGCTACCTAAGCTGTATTCGTAGTCTGCAAAATGTCTCAGATGGATCACTTTACACTTTGAAGTATTACAGGCAAGTTTGTTGTCATCCGCACAACTATGAAGAAGAGTAAGAACCTCCTGAAGTGTCAGTTTATTTCTTGATTGTCATACCTAAAGGATAAATACAATAACTTTCTTTCCTTAGAGGTAACCAATACACCTCAGATACAGATTTTTAGGGAAAAGGAGATGAACAACGGAAAAAGCGGCTCAGCTTCTCAGTGAGCATATGGAATCCATCAACAAGACAATTTGAAAATCACGACTAGAAGCGCTGGCTTAAGTTTTTGAATCACTCACGTCTTTCTTGTTTCAGATAACAACAGGCGGATCACTTTGATTACTGACGTCTTTATTCTACAGTGATAACCGCCATTGTGTAAGGACCTACTACTTTGATACACGGTACTAGTTTATTTAATATCACGTAGTCGGTAAAATTAGAGAAATGCTGCTCGCTTTCTCGTGATACTTGATTGAGACATCGCCGTATGATAGATCATGATAGGAGTGCGTCTTTCAATTTCATATCTGCTTCTTCTGGCGGATAATCCTGAGGAGTGTCATATAGAAAACGAATGTGTAAAAATTTAATGGCAGGATGGCGGACACTGTGAGTGTTAACGTCTTCATACCGAAAGTCAGAATAATTGTTAATTCTAAAAGACTGCTACATGTTGGAAACTTCTCCTGGCTCCTCTAGGTAAAGCCTAACAAGTACTTCATTTCGCTCTAAAAGGACAATTTTTAAAATTTTTCTGAATTGTCTGAATAACAAATACAATTCATAAAAAATAAAAAGAAGAAATTTCCCTTCAGCAAAAACCCTCTTCTGTTTAAAGAGTGGTTAGTGATCAGACACAAGAGAATCGTAAGTTCTATCTTTGTGAATAAACAGGGCTCTTATATGTCCAAGATCAAGGAAAATCGGGTTCTCATCTTTTCAGTAGAGATTCAAACGGTTATAATACAAACTAATCAAGAAATATGATAATAACCTGTGACCGCTTTCGGGAGCAACGAGGGGTTTGTGGGTGTATTGTTCGGGATAACAATCAGATTCAACAAATTAGGTACTTTTTATCTTTACATTGAAATTTTGTTTAAACGCATCATTCAAACTTGTTTCTATGTGTCTTGTCAAAGTCAAAACATGAAAGTCTACAAGTTGTATGAATTGCGACGTTATTATGCCAGAGTATCATCATTAGCATTTGCTTTCGACACTTTTGTGGTTCTTATGATTACGTTAATACCATGGATCATCTCGTATGTAACGGGTTGTAAGCAAATTGTCAATTTCTGAATATTACACCAATATTTATTTAGTCATGTATATAAATTCTTATGCTTTCCCAGAGAAACCCCTGATATCGTTCGACGGAAACATGCTCCTTTTTCTTCAGAAGAGTGATGGTTTTCTTTATTATGGTAACATACCACAAAAGGAAACCAACCATCTATTGAAATCTTCGCTTAGGCTACCTCAAATCAGTTACTACAATTCTAAAAATAAAAACCTCAATGAAGAAGTGGCAGTTAATATTAATATCAAGTTTCCTTTGTCGCCGTCGGAAAAAATAATTGGTCTCACTATTGTACTATTGGTTGATGTTACCTTGTTGGTATATTCACAAGACATTAATTTCAGCTAATATGTTTTATAGCGTTTCTACAATAGGCTAGAAAAGGTTCCAGTAATTATAAACAAAGTTTTTCGGTCGCATACTAGTGGATTTCTTTATTCTGGGGACCTTTTGTGCTTTCGGAAATACTTGTTACCTTCTACACAAGTAAGTTCATGCCTTACAATGAATTTATGGTGTAGACTAGTATTTATGAAACCAAAACGATTCCAAGCAAAATCTTTGAGCTATCATCAAACATCTCAAGAGCTGGTAAGTTATCTATCAGGTCATTTGCTCTTTTTTCTTCAGGATACTACTTACTTGAAGATAGAATAAGTGTACCTATAATACGTGAAAGTCTTTCAAGTACTTTTGACATAGAACTGTCTGTGTACTTCTCCTCTCTAAGAATCAGGTAAGTGTGCTGTGTATCTAATCCAAAACACTATGAATGAATAACATACATTGTTTAACAAAGGTGCATCGGATAAATGCTATGAGAGATGGTTTAGTGGTTAACACCTTCAACTTTCGACCAATAAGTCATGATTTCAGGCTCATTTCATCTACTTCCGTTTAGGTAGCCATAAAGTATCATCATTCGTCACAATATAGATATTTCTCATACCTTAACAACTTAAAATTAAAAACCAACTTCATCAAGCCTGGTTTAGTTAAGTACACATATTGGTATCTCTGTCTTTCGAGAGTTTTACTGAAGTACTCGATTTTTTGAAATATTTCCATATTGTAAATTTAGAACAACATATATAAGCCAACAACATTGTTTTCGATTAAATCCTCATCAGGCTTTACTCTAATATACAGTAATATTTATGTGCATATACGAAATTATTAAACCAACCAAGGTAGTTTGTAAGTCAATGATAACAATGAAGACGATTACATAATAAGTGAAACGTGAAAAGTACAATTGATGCTGTGACAACAAGTGCACTAGTTTTGTTAAGAATAATAAAGGCTCAAATCAATGCTACATAATCGGAAATAGGTCAATGATTAGAAAAATATATAAACTGGGATAACATTTATAAAATTACGAGATGACGTAATAAGAAATGTTCAGATAATTGGACCATGAAACTTATAGTTGAGAGAAAATAAAGTGGTAGGAGGGGGTGAAGAAAAATAATAAACGAAGAGAAAGTTTGAAAAAGAATAACTAAATTCATTTATTACTTAAGGCCAGAGGAGAGATAATGGTGTTACAAATTTCTTCTGAACACAAAGACTTGGCTTGTTGGCTCGGATTCCTATAGCTTCTGCTATATGTAAGAGACGAGATCGAACACCATAAGGGAAACTAGTGGGAATACGATAAATAGCTTTGAACGACTTGTTTCTGTTTACTATATGGCCGCTATCGATCAAGTGTGATAGAAACGAGCTGCGTATTGTTATGACGTAACCTTTTCTTAACCACGAAGGGAGGTGTTCATTAACTCGTTGATTCAGTTGCCTGGTAGTGGGTCCAACATATACTCGATTTGTCGACTTAAAAGTCTGTTGATCAGTAACCTGTGGTACAAAACTCTTCTTGAATATATGGTGACATAATACAAAAGACAAACCAAATCTTTCAATATTTATCTATTCTCGTTGCTTCTTTCATTCCGTGCTGTTTCAGAATACGAGTGTTCTAAATTTAGCATGTGTTTAGCTTTTATAAGTCCTTAAATTCATTATCATTTTTTAATTGGTAAGTAATAGGTATGATAAACATGTTTTGTATAGAGCCAGTCTACCTTAATTGACCAAATAATCCCGAGAAGAATGTTTGAACGCTGAGAGTAACTACTGTTTGAATTCTGTCTTAACAATTTTGGCTGAAAAAAACAAGTACTAGAAAATAAATAATCCATTTTAGAAAAATTATGATCATGAACATCTCTAGTTTTTCCATCATATTTATGATTGAGAAACGCTTGCAGGAGGTTTCTTCAACTAGATCCTAGTTTGATTGGTACTTGTGAATAAAATGTATAATCTTTAAGAAATCCATTCCATGTATACGATTTTCATTTATAAAGTCCCATTTAGTTTTACAGGGAAAATTTGTGTCACTAGTAAATTATGTATTATGTTATTGAATAAGATACCTGAAGAAAAGTCTTGATTGTGATTTGCACTTGATTGGCTGAATAGTAAATGAAAAACACATCGTTTGAGTGACTTATATTTACCTTATACAATTAAAAATGACTTAAATGATAAAAGGTTATTGTTCTACACGGTAGAATCCGATCTTCAGTTTGCGAGATTAGTCATATCAAGTATTCTATATATTTGTATCTATCTAGTGATCCGATCAAAGTCAATAGGATTGAAAATGTCTGATTGAAATCACCAACCAATTGAAATCGAATGTAGATATAAGAAATATTTTTAAAAAGTATAAGTTTTATGACATCATAGAAGCATTTTCAGCTGATGATTTGTAGTAAAGATGATTTGCTGGCTATCGGTTTCAAAATGTCAACTACTTGAATTTCTCCAACTTTGCTATAATAAATCATTTCTAGTTAATACATTTTATAATTCCTTGCATAATATATTATTATTAATATTGTCTTATAGTGCTAATCCAGGATTTTGGTATACTATCAAATTTGCATGGGTTCAATATTTATCAATTGGTTTAGTGATTTTTTATTTAGCTGAAAAAATGAGAGGATACATTTACGATAAACAAATAGTCAGAACAATTGTAAAGTCAACCATTCCAAAATCTTTGGATCAATGAGAATATCTACTTTGTTTTCATTTAACAATGAATAATCTACAGTGTGGAACGATTTGGCCAATAAAGTGATGAATATCTTTGTATTACCTTTGAAATTTACTTTTGCCCATTTACTTTCAGTCGGTGAATACTTACGATTCCAGCAAAATTACTTAATAAGATTTACATATCTCACAGCAAGCGCATAAATATCGAACAAATCTTAGCATATAATTTGGTTGACATTTTCACCTCACTGGCTTATTTACGTATAGAATCTTAAAACTAAATGGCGAAGCTTGCTTGAAAGTCTAGTTACATCACAAAAAATAGTATACACACCGGGAGTGTATACTTTAGCCCTGAGGTTTATGGGTGATAGTAAATATGTGGGGTGTGAATACAGGAAAAACAAATATTTGAAACGTGGAAAAAAGAATAGCAAAGTGCACAGCTTTTTCGAACAGGAATGACTAAATTTCCTGAAAATAAAGTTTATTACACGTCTTGAAAACGGTGAGATCGTTCACGATGATTGAGGTTACAGATAGTGACTAGCACAAAGTAACGAAACCATGAAAGATTGAAAAATACTTTTTCAGGTAGAATAATGAACCAAATTATCGAAAGAGAAATATAAGCTGATAGGATTATTAGTTCGATGCAAAAAAGCGATACTATTTATAATTTATAATAAGTAATATACCTCAATACAAAAAGCAAGGACGAAAACACGTGGGAATAAATGTATATTTTCAGTCATGACCACGTATATTATAGTAATAATTTGCTCAAATAGATTATCAGAAACCACTGTGAACCAAACCAATCACGCTCAAACTTATAATTAAATGTAACAGCTCTCTAATCCAGTTCAGTGACGATATCCAACACTAGAATGAAAGTTTAGTCCAGGTTTTAGTGATACAAACTTTTACTAGGGAGGCAAATTATAACCGTTCTCGAACAGATACTGCCTAAAATAAACCGGTAGCCGTAAGTTATAACTTTCATTTTGAATCGATGAATACCATGAGCAAGTCTCAACACTAACAGTAAGATGCCTTATTTATATAGTTGATGAATACCTTGGATGAACAAACGGAGTGTTAGTAGCTAGTGGTAATTTCTACGAATGCATTTCGTTATTCCATATGCACTTAACAAGAAAGTTTGGTGTAACTTAACGAGTTCTCTTTCTCTTTACTTGGAATTTGAATTCATGTTATTTATTATAATATTTAAAGACGTAAAACGTATTATGTTAAGATCATAGTGTTTGATTCGACTTGGCAAACGTACAACAGCTAACTGGAGACTTATGGGTTCGTGCGTAATGAACTATATGGTTCTGATTGTGGAGAATTATTTGGCATTCTTAACATCGTCGACACCAGCTTTAATTACACATAGATAACACTTGAAAAGTTAGACGATGGAAGGGGGTGAATATAATTTATGGACAACCCTTGAAGGATTCTGTAGTGACTTTTAGAAAATTCACCTACTTGATACTATCAAAAGATGATCATAAATTAATATGAGGAATTAAAATAAGAATTTGAGGCTAGAAGTTAGGTCTATAAATAACAGTTGGGATTTGCATCATGAACAAACGTCAGTTATAATGCAAAAATGCCTTTTAGCCAAGACTTGCTATCTTTAATTTCATTAGTTCATCCATCAATTACAGTCTCACCAAGATGTGTTGTTTCTAGTAGGACAGTGGAAAACCCAGGCGAAGTCGTACTGCTGACTGTAGAGGGCTGTGACAGCAGTAAGGAGTTTCCCTCGAACAATTAGAATCTGCGGCGATGCTGCCTTTTCACAAAAAAAGGAAAGGGTTAGAAAAGGTCTGCCCTAAAAATGTCACACCTCACCTTACCTCACAGATTTCCGTCTCCAGCGGTAAGCCCCTTTCAAGAACGGAGCTAACACGTCAAAAACCTTCCACAAAAAGGCCGTGCGCGACCGGCCTCAAGCAGTTGTCCCTTGGGCTCTGCGGTCACGTTCCCAAGTCGTCAAGACCAACACTAATCCAAGTTCCTTTTCAGGTCCCTCAAGAAATACCCTTCCACGGTGTGGGCAGTCGGGGAGTGATATCAGCCCATATACTCATAACACACGAGACCAAGTCGGTCACATTCAAATCTTCCCTACACATCCTAATAACTCTCTTATTTCCACGAATAACCCTTCTCACGTCCCTTTATCACCGCGCAACGCTAGGGCAAACGATTCGAGTACGTGGAACGCCATTCCTGGTCTCCTGAAACCACGCTTTAAACTACACGTAGGAGCTTTTAACGTCTGAACACTGTGCCAAATAGGACAACAGGCTTTCTTAACTAGGACTTTTGAATCTCGCCCCGTCGATGTGTACTGCGCCTACGAAACGCGCATACAGGACCCGACTAGTGTCATTTATTTGACCTCGCCATTTCAAAGTAACGAACCAACTCGACATACACTTCGTGTATCTGGAAGCCCTGGTGCTGCTTCCCGTGGTCTTGCTGGCGTAGGTATAGCATTGAGTCCTAGGACAGAACTAGCTCTTTTAGACTGGATCCCAGTAGACAGTCGCTTGTGCGCTGTTCGACTAAACGGAACAGTAAGAACTCGGGAAGATAGGAACACTCGTCGTCTCTGCCTATTCTCCCACTGACTGCAGCTCAGATGACGCAACAGATGAATTTTACAGAAAGCTTTCTGACCTTTTCCAAAACGTTAGGCGCTCTGATGTAGTAATAGTGGCTGGTGACTTTACTGCTCAAGTAGGTAAACTAAGCGAAAGGGAAAGACACCTGGGTGGATCTTATAGTGTCGTGGCTCAAAGAACAGATAATGGCGACCATCTGTTGCAACTACGCTCAGATAATCGCCTGTTTCTTGCAAATACTAACTTCAAGCCTAAGGAAAAACATCTTTTAAGATAGCGACCCCGAATTCATCCCAATGTTGGACCCAACTAGATCATACCGCCATCAGCCACCGGTGGAAGGGTTTGACAGAAGACTGTCACTCATTCTGGAGCACATGCTTAGACTCAGATCATGCTCTAGTGCGAGCGCGTATTTGTTTGCGTCTTACTGGACGTAGGAAAGACGATACAAGGAAACTTCTTAGACCCCTACTTAATGATTGTCAAGCTAAGAGTATATTTCAGGAACAACTAGAAAAACAGTTAGGCAGTCATGTAAGTTATTCCCAACCCGAGGAAGCTTGAAATGATATCCGAAAAGCTGTGAAAACAGCAGTGATATCTGCTAGTAAGGTAAACCATAAGATTAGGGAGAAATACTGGATCTCAGCAGCATCTACCGCACTGATAGATGCTCGGAAGCTCATTCAAACTGGCTCTGAACATAATGAAGAGCGGAGTCAGCTTAAGTACAAGCTGAAAAGAAGTCTACGCAATGATCGTGAACAGTGGTGGGTAGCGAAAGCAAGAGAGATGGAAAAGGCAGTGGCAATAGGTAATAGCAGACAATTGTTCAGACTTGTTAAGGAAACCGGAATTAGGAACCCGACCGTTAGCGAAACAATCTCAGAGAAAGATGGACATATTATTCATTCTCAATCCAGGAGATTGGATCGATGGGCAGAACACTTTAGGGATCAGTTCAACTGGCCTTCAGCCACACTTCGGTTTCCCACGATCTCTAGTCAACCTGAATGGCAAGTTAATTTAGGCCCTCCGACTCTTTATGAAGTTGAAAAAGCTATAGGAAATCTGAAACGAGGGAGAGCAGCAGGCCCTGACAGGTTTACTCCTGAGATTTTTAAGGATGGTGGTCCAGTATTAGCAATGAGATTAACCGAAGTCTTAGGTAGAATTTGGGAACTGGACGTAATTCCATCTGACTGGTCTCAATCACTGATTGTGCCAGTTTTTAAGAAAGGACAAAAGTCCTCTTGTGACAATCACACAGGAATCAGTTTGACTAATATAGTGTCTAAAATATTAGCTTCAATAATACTTCGACGCCTAACTAAAGCTCGTGAAGAGCAGACTAGAGAAAACCAGGCTGGTTTTCAACCTGGACATGGTTGTATAGATCAGATATTCACACTACGTCAGGTCCTAGAACATAGACACACAATTGTAGTATTTCTCGACCTTAAGGTGGTATTTGACTTTGATGATCGTGAGGTTCTATGGCAGTGTTTGTCACTGAAAGGAGTACCAAAGAAGTACATTAACCTTGTAAATGCTCTCTACTCGAACACAACTGGTCGAGTGGGAGCTTATGACTAACTGTCATCAAAATTGATTACTTCAAGTGGTGTTGGTCAGTGCTGTCCACTCTCTCTATTCTTGTTTAACGTGCTTTTAGAGATAACACTTTCCTCATCTAAATTTCAAGGAGTTGAACTTCTACCAGGAGGTTCACTTGTTGACTTAGAAATGCTGATGACATAGTTCTATTTGGTAAAGACACTGACAAAATGCAGAGTCTTCTGACCACTTTAAGCAACAATGCAAGCATGTTCGGGATGCGATTCTCCCCCTCGAAATGCAAAATGTTGCTTCAGGATTGGGTTTCATTGACACCCGAACTAATGATAGGGAGTGAATTAGTTGAGCGTGTCGACCGCTTCACTTATCTTGGAAGTCTCATCAGCCCTTTTGGTTTAGTGTGTGACGAAATCTCAGCACGGACACAGAAGGCTCGACTAGCTTTTGCCAACTTGCGTCATTTATGGCGTAGGTGAGATATCCGTCTATCAACTAAAGGACGGGTTTACTGCGCAGCAGTTCGTTCCGTCCTACTTTATGGAAGTGAAACATGGCCGGTAAGAGTAGAGGATATTCGTAGGTTACTAGTATTCGACCACAGGTGTCTTCGAAACATTGCTCGTATATCCTGGGACCATGGAGTAAGTAACGCGGTTGTTAGGAAACGGGTACTAGGTAAGGATGGCAAATCAATTGATGAAGTAGTGAAACTTCATCAGTTGAGACGGCTGGAACATGTATTACGTATGCTCAACCGCCGACTGCTTCGAAGTGCGATGCTCGATGGTATAGGAGTAGGTTGTAAGAGAGCTAGGGGTGGCCAGACCGAAACATGGCACAAATCCATGAAGTCACTGACAAG